GGAAATTCTGAAAGACAAAGGAGAGATTAATGAAAATAAAATTAAGGAAAATATTAAATTAGTAAATAAAACCAGAAATAAGCTTTATACTAAAAGTAAAATACATTAACCATTGGTTAATTTGATTTTTTTAAAAAGAAAACCAAATTACCAGTATTAAAAAAGAGGGTGAAATCAACAGCAAATAGGTGAAAAATAAAGCAATTACTTATAAGCTAATTTGCCAGAAATATATCCCCCCCAAAATCTGAAAAGCTAGCTGAAATGGATGAATATTTATAAAAATAAAAATTATTTATATTAAAAAAGTGGAAATAAGATACTTAAACAATTGTATCTTAAAACTATATATTAAATAAACCATCAATGAACTCTCTAAGAAAAAAATACCAAGGCAAAATTATTCATAAGTTAATTCTATCAACTATTTGGAGAACAATTATTTCCAAGACATACTTATTTATTTGAAAAATAGGCAAAATGGGGACACTATCAAATTCTATTTCTTAGATAAATATTGTGCTAATACCTAAACCAGGAAAATGCAAAAAAAAAAAGAAGAAAAAGAAAACCATGTTGTGACAGAGAAAACATAGTGAGAGTTTTCACGTATAAGGAGAATGTAAATGGAAGAGAGAGAAAAGCCAGAGACACATGTTTACAAGGAACGTGGCTTTGGAGTAGCAAGATGGTAACTCCTATAATCTCTTCACAAGAGAGTAGCTACAGAAGAAGACAGAATCACTAGAGAAGAAACACTAGAACAAAAACACCAGAGATCAAAGCCCATCAGAATTGAAAAAGTCAGAGATTGACAAAAAAGAACATAATTATGATGGACAATTGTGCAGCAGAGAGCCAAGGATGTGACCTTGTGTTCAATGCAGCAGAAGTCCATTTCTCTGAGGTACAGTTCCATCAACTAAGATGGCATCTGCTACAAACCTTGTGAAGGAATATGTGAGTTTCAATGGAAAACCAACACTGAGCAATGATTGTGGCTGCTCAGAGAGGAGAGAAGGAAAAAAAAAAGGACTAAAAATGGGGTAATATGGGCTTAGGCCAAGGAACTATTCATGGTGAGTACAAGAGGAGGGGACAGGCATCATGATTTGGGACCCAGGATGACATCAATTGTGTGACACAGTAAAATATGACATTGGTTGCTTAGGAACATTGTTTTTAATGGGGACAATTAATGAAATGAAAACCTCCTTGGCATTGATATTAGTGTTCTGCCAAAGAAGATAGGAGGAAAAGGAAGGGATAAGGGAGTCTTCCTCTTTTCATTCTGAAAGAAAAGCTCAACACTTCAGAGAACTAATTTCCTCACGTGGTCATTTGACAATAGAGGAAATGTGTGGCCAACTGAGTTTCTGCTTCTTGAAGCCTGCACAGACATTCTCTGCTGTCCATGCAGCATATGCAAGACGTGCTTTTGCAAGAAAATTTGGGGCAGAATAACTCATTGATACCATCCTATAATGGAGATGATATAATAAGATGGATAAAACCCTTACATTGGCCATTTGGAGGGTATTTTTTCCCCTCTCAGGTTCTGATTTAGGGAAGAAAAACTGAAAGAGCAAAGGCATGAGGAAGAACAAATGGCTGATCTCCCCTGCCTTACCTCTTATACTGCCATATGTCCCTGATAATATAGTACCTGAAGTTATTCTGGTCTTAGGTGAATGAGGAATTAGAGATGGAATGAAACAGATTACAACATGGTACAATTCAAATAATTAGAAGAATCCTTAGAGGACCCCTGGGAATACAGTCTTTGAAAAAGAACAACAAAGTCCAGAGCCATAGCAGGTGATTCCTGTATACCTCAAGAGCATCAGACCAGCAAAGTTCTTGCCCCAAATAAGCAGAAAGTTGACCCATGAATCAGAACACCAACTCCTGCCTTTGTGGGCTGCCTTTGCAGGCTGGCTCTTTAGCCAGTCCAGATGAGCCAGGGAGTGATTCCATGAGAAACCTTCTATATGCAGAATCGCTTATCTCCTCAGTCTTTCCTTTAGAAGAATGAATAAATCCCCTTGTCCGTTTCCAGAGTCCCAAGTGTTGGATTGTTAGAAGATAGGCAGTGTATAAGTAGCCCTCTCTCCACAACATTACATTACATAAAGGGAACTGGAATATATTTTTGTGTAGCATTTGCTCATCTTGCTACATGAGAACATAAGAAAGGGGACTCACATGAAGAACTACAATTCCTGGTTCAAACAACCAGATTTCAATCTGGAGACATTTTTAAAAGTCAACAGACATTTGTTAAAATGCTCACTTTGTGCCTGGCACTGTGCCAAGAGCTTGGGACACAAGTCCAAGAGACAGAAAATTGGAATCAATGACCTTAAGCAGCTTATCATATTATGAAGGAATACAACCCCAAAAAGAGCTCAGAAAAATGAGGAGATGAGCAGGGAGAAAGTCCTTTTGGGTGTTAGGCATAGTGTGGAAATGCAGAGATTAAGAAGAAGAGCAGAGACAATGAAAGATGGTTGACCTGGAGACCTTTCTCAAAGTCAGGGTCTGATAGGAGCTTGTCAATGGCCAAAAGGACTCTAAGGGTTGTGGGAAGTTCCAGGATAAAAAGGCCACTTTGTGGTGAGAAGGCATATTCTAAAGGGATGAGGAGATAGAATAATTTTGGATACAAAACACTTTTGGATGAGTGATTCCCTTACTTAACTCAGCTAAATCTTTGAAGTGGTTTTTTCCTGGTTAATGGTCAAACCACTGCTAGATTAGCTACAAGATGTGGCTTGGCTGTTGTTATTGTCTCTGATACCAAGTCTAGGGGATAAAGAGATCAATGATGAAACTCTCAGTACCTAAAAGTTCGAAAACTCTTCTATCCTTTGTCTAAGTACTTTTTCACAAATGCTAAATAAAGAAGCATGGCATGTTTAGGTACATGAAGAATTGAGAACCATGTACAAGCCTGACTTCTGGTCTCCTTGAGAACACAAGAATTTCCAGAACTGATTTCATTGTGTGCCTGAGATTAATGGAGGGTGAAGGGGAGCGACCAACGAAACTAGGACCATTAAGCATAAGCAGACTTGTTCTGCCTGCTACTATTTCAGCCTGTGAAACTTTGGAAGAAAGTTTGCTCCTTGATGATTCGGAACTTTTTAGGAAGTGATACAAACCATGGACCAGTATTTCCTTCTCTCAGGCCTTTCTGGTATTTCGACAAGAAAATTAGCGAACTCACAATAGTAGTCCTCTTTTATCCTCCCAATTGGATACCATGTGGACCCAAACAGGGGGCCTCCCACTATAACTAAAGAGCCTTGTCATCCTTGAAGGCCAATTTGCTTCTGTAACTGCTTCCAATGATTAATTGGTCAGTTCCTCCTAGAACCCCTTACACCTAATTTTCTAGAATTCTTCTCCACCATTCTCCTCACAAATACATATACCTTATGCAAAATGCCCACATTGATTTCTCCTTTGATATGTTATCCCCTCCCCATACAAGATACTTAAGCTTTTTGAGGTCAAGAAGTATAATTATAGTAAGTATATATGAATGCCTAGTGTGTACCACTGTGCTTCCTGTTGTCATTGTTTCTTCTTTGTTTTTGAAGAGGTCCATGACATCAGAAAGATTATATTTCATGACAAGCACGGGAACTGGATTTAAGTGAGGAAGGGCTGTACTAAGGCACCAGCCTCACTTCCTTCTCCAGAGCCATCTGAGTCCAGGGGCGAGATATAGATCAAGAAACGGCCCCGGATGCAATGTGGGACCTCGGCCTTTTTAAGCTAAGGTCTTAACACGTTTTAGTGTGACTGAGGAAATGTCATTTCAGAGAATAAGGCTAAGTAAGAAAGGAGATAGAGAATAGCTTCTTTACCTAGTCAAAAATAAAAAAATTAATCTGAGAGAAGAAGACCCTCAAGGTTTCTGGCCAAAACAGAAGTAATTGTTGTTTACATTCACTTGATAAAAATGTATCTCTTAGAAATAACTTAAATTGAATATACATAGTATTTCTGTTCTGAAGGGATACATCATATATTGGACAATTCAGGCACAGATACAGGAAGGAGACAAATTCTCAGTTAAATGGGAAGATCGTGCTAAACATAGAATTGAATGATGCTTGTTAGCACAGACTGCTAAAGGTAAGGACTAGAGCATCATCTTGTTAGGGAAAATACACAAATAAATTTCAAAATGAAAAGGAACAGAGGCCTTTCCCTGGGAATTTTCTGAGGTGAGTAAAAGAGAAATCTTTCTTCCGTCTAAAGTCTTTTGAGTTCTATACAAGTATAACAGATGAGCTAAGGGTATAGTGACCTGGAGTTGGACAGATTTTTCCTTGGTTCAAAATGATCAGAGTTAAACCAATATAGCACAACCTCATCTAGGGGAGAAGGTGAGATTTATGATGGAAGAGACTATTTCCATTTTCTGTATCTTCTTTTGTCAGAATAGTGCCTAGAATTTCTTCTTTTTTTTTTTTGGTTGAATGGAATTCACTTTTTTTTTCATTTTCAAACACAAATTTAATCATACTTTTCCATCTGGTACTTTTTTTTTTGGTTAATTTATTTTTTTTTAGTTTTCAACATTCGCTTCCATTAGATTTTGAGTTTTAAATTTTCTCCCCCTCCCATTTCTTCCCCCCTCCCTCAAGACAGCATACAATCTGATATAGGCTCTACATATGCATCCATGTTAAGCATATGTACCCATTAGTCATGATGTAAAGAACAATTAGATATAATGGGAGGAACCACGAGAATGAAGCAATAGAACAAAACAATAAAGGAAAAGGAGAGCAAATAGCATGCTTCCATCTGCACTTAGACTCCATATTTTTTTTTCTCTTCATGTGGATAACAGTGTCTAGAACTTCTGGGTAACTGTTTATTGACTCACTGATACTGCATCAGAACAGGTTATAAAGGACTTGCTGTTTTAAATACAAGGAACATGTTAGATGGAAATAAGTGACAGTATTGGGCTCCCTTACCTGTGGAACTTTATAAAGTTTGAGAATGGTGGCCATGGACGTGGACAGTGTAGATGACATCCCTCCAATGACAGCCACTGAATTGGGTTTCCTGTCACAGCTGTAGTTAGGGATGGTTGGACCCCGCCTTGACAGCCATATCAAGGAGCTCTCCACAGCTAGTCTGGCCTGATGGAAGTTATTGAGCAACTGGTATCCCAAGGTTATGTTTGGCAGCAAATTGGAGTTCTTGTTGATCTCATCCACAGCAAATTGGAAAACCAGCATATGTTGGTAATGTTTGCGTAATACCCTAAAGTGAGAGGAAAAATATAAAGAACTAGGCAAACTTTATATGTGCAGAAAGAACAAGGTGTTATAAGGGATGAAATGTTAGATGAAGTCAAGAAAGCCTGTTTTACATCTTGCCCCTAATATTTACTAATAGTGTGGCCCTGGGCAAAATCATTTCACATCCATGAGTTTCAAAGTCCATATATATAAAATGAGATAATTGGACTAAACATCCTATAAAATACTTTCAAATACATACACACACACACACACACTGGGAGAGAGAAAGGGAGAGGGAGAGAGAGAAAGAGAGAGGGAGAGAGAGAAAGAGAGAGAGAGAGAGAGAGAGAGAGAGAGAGAGAGAGAGAAATAATAATAAGCTTTAGACATCAAAATATATCTAGTCTTGCAATGGAACTGAACAAACAAGGCAGTCTTATTTTCTATCTCATATAAACATAGGAAGAGGAGTTTCTAATTCTGGACTTGTATTGGAGATATTTTAATTGTCCCCTTGACCATAGAAAACATATTAGATAGGAATAGACAAATATATTGATAACATAGCTTCTTATATTTTGTAATATTTTTAAGAATATATGTTGAGGTGAAAATGGAGTACATGTATTTCAAAAGTGGAATTTTCTTGAAAATGTAATGGGCAATATTGAAGGATTTAAGCTGACGTTCATTTCTTTCTGAAATAATTACCTGAACTACAGTGAAGGAAGATTCTCAAAATTTAGATTTTCAGGGCATTTTATTAGCCCTGTAGTTCATCTTCCTGTCTTATTGAGTTAGGAAACATTGTTCCTCTCTTAGAAGTTAGATAACTGAGAACCAAGGAATCAATCAATCACCATTTACTAAGCACCTACTATGTGCCAGGTACTGTGTTAAACAATGAGGATACAAAAATCAACAAGAGAAAGATCTGTCTTCAAGGTGATCATGTCTTAATGGGAAAGACAGCATGCAAACAGAGAGAGACAGACAGACAGAGAAAGACAGAGAGAGAGAGAAAGCAAAAGAGAGACAGAGACAGAAAAAGTGATAGAGAGAAAGTGACAGATGGACAGACAGAAGGACAGACAGACAGGTAGGCAAGCAGCTATATATTTAAGACACATTGCCAACATGGACAGTCTAGATGACATCCCTCCAATGATAGTCACTGGATTGGGCTGCCTGCCACAGCCATAGTTAGGGACAATTGGACCCATTCCCGACAACCATATTAAGGAGATGTCCACAGCGAGTCTGTCCTGATGGAAGTTAGTGAGTTTAAATTGAAAGGCCTTGGCAACAGCTTAGATATGAGGGAGAGGGATAGAGAAGATTGTAGGATCACTGCAAAGTTAGGATCCAGAAGGCATTGGAGGACAGTAGTAGGGAGAGAGTTAAGAGGCAAAAGAGAATGATTTCCATTTTGGATGTACTGAACTTAAGCTGTCCATTGGATATTTAGTTCAAGATATCTGAAAGGCAGTTGGTGATATAAGATGCGAGGTCAGCAGAGAGTTTGGGTCAGGACAGGTAAATCTGAGAATCATCAGCAGAGAGATGCTATGTAAATCATGTGAACTGATAAGATAACTATGTGAAGTAATAGACTGGGTTAGTGACAGATCCCTGAGGGATACCTATAATTAGACAGTGTGATCTGAAGAGGATTCAGCCAGAGAAAAAAAGAGAAGTAAGAAATGGAGGAGGAGAACAGGAAAACCTCGACCCTAAACCTAGAGAGAAGAGAACACCAACGAGGTGAGAGCGATCAACACTGTTAAAAGATGCAGAGAAAAAAAGGAAAATGAGGAGAAGGAGTTAAATAATTACTCTCAGGTTCACAATGTAATAAACTGAAAGAAAGAACCTGAAGTTCCCAATGAGAACAAACTGAAATGATTAATCAGCTTACAAGCATTTATGAGGCCCCTGTTAGAGATCAGGTATTTGCAAGTCAAGGGGGTGTAGAGACAAAAGTGAAAAAAAAATACCTGTCTTCAAAGAGGTTACATTATAGCCAGCAGAGAAAACATGGCCACATAATAAGCAGTATGTTAAATTAGAGGCAAGGGAGACAAAATATGATTTGGAGAAAGTCATTAACAGCTCTGGGTAGGGTGGGAGACAATAAAGACTTAATTTCAAATGAGTTGAAAATTAAATGACAATAGGAATTCTGAGACATGAAAATGAGGAGAGATTGCATTCCTGGAATGGGAGACAGTATTCCCAAAAGTACAAAAATGATAGATGGAGTGTGGAACATGAAGAATGATGAGTTCTCTTTGGCTTTATGAAAAAGGCCACGAAAGTTGGTGAAGGATAATAAACAGATATTTAGGTGAGGCCCAAGGTATGAATGTGTTAAATTATTGTGAAGTTTACCTTTGATCAGAAAGGTATCAGATTGTGATTCCAATTCAGCAAATAGGGAACTGACCTACCAGGTGTTGTACTTTCTGAAAATCCCTTGCACATCTTTGGGGAGACTAGCTAATGACAGAAGAGATGTGTAGAAGAAGAGCCATTGGGGGCCATTTCGAATATTCCATAGAAGCGGTTATCAATTTTTGTCAGGAAGTCATCAAATGAGGGGAAAAAGAGGGAACAAGCATAAAATATTGTATTTTGGTAGAAATTATGAGTGTATACATGATTAGATACATATCTTCTTCAGAAACTCGATTAAATGGAGAGAGAATGGGCATTTAAAGGAATAGTACATTGAATATCAAAAAAGGGAAGGAATAGATAAAACTAAAGTCTTCTGTTTTGTCAATATATTTTAAGGCAATGTCCTCAGCTAAGAATGTGGAGGGTGAGGTGAAGTTTTTAATAGCTACTGTGGAAAGAAGAATAAGCCATCCCTCAGGAAACAGTACATGGATTGCCTTGCAATAGTGAAAGCCTAATTGGGATGGCATAATCTAAATTTGTAGTAGATTTATTCTATAATGGTTTGTGACTTTCTTAAGTCAGGTTAGTAGCACCTGAGTAGTATTTGAAGAAGTAGATACTGGGAGTAGTGGGAAATTGTGGTTTGGCAAGGCTCAAATAGAAATCATTGGGACTGTTTGGGAAGGCACTTAATCACAGAATTTCCACAATAGAAAAGACCAAACATTGGTCCATTTTTCATGTTTTTTTTAATCCATTTATTGCATGTATTTGTGACTATGTGTGTGTGTGTATTTGTGTGCACACATGTGTATGGATATATGTATATACATACATGTATATGTTAGTATATAAACAAAAACATTTATGTTCATCAATGTTCTAAGTGCTAGGGACCAAAATACAAATATATATACATATATAAATCCTGTTTATTTCTACCTTTTCTTTGACTGATAGCAAACCACCTACACACAAACAATAAAAATACATAATATGTACATAAAGCTAAGTGCAATAAAGTTTCTGTGAATTTGGTTATATTAACTAGAAAACTCAGGGAAAATTTCTTGTAGCAAGTAGTACTCAAGATCAACTTTAAAGGAAGCAAAGGATTTTGAATATCCAGGAATATGTGAAATCATCTTCAAAGCATGAGCAATTGTCTATGCAAATGTATCATAAAAGAAAGTGTGATTTCATATATGAGGTGCAGCAATAAATCAAGTTGGGGGGGCAGCGAGGTGGCACAGTGGGTAGAGCACTGGCCCTGGATTCAGGAGGACCTGCGTTCAAATCCGGTCTCAGACACATAACACTTACTAGCAGTGTGACTCTAGGCAAGTCATTTAACTGCTATTGCCCAACCAAAACAAACAAACAAACAAACAAACAAACAAATAAATAAATAAACAAACAAACAAATAAATAAATAAGCAAATAAATAAATAAATAAATGAATGAATGAATGAATGAATAAATCATGTTGGATTCAATGTAGATTACTTGAAGGGGAATGCTGTTCAATAAGCCTACAAATGGTAATGAGGCTTGGGTCAGAGACAAAAAGGAAATTGAAATTCAGCAGATGAGGTCTTATTTGCTCTTATGGAAACTGAGTACACAGGGGCAACTAGGTGGCACAGTGAATAGAGCACTGGCCCTAAAGTCAAGAGGACCTGAGTTCAAATTCGGCCTCAAATCAAAAACTTGACATTTACTAGCTATGTGACCCTGGGCAAGTCACTTAACCTCAATTGCTTCACCCCTTCCCTCAAAAAAAAAAAATCCTAATTGAATACTTGGTGGTCTTCTTTGGCCCTGAAACAGAAGAATGATATGGGCATACATACCAATATTTTCAAATGCTGTCTGGCAGCTCCGCAAAGACTCAAACCATATATGACAGAGGTTAATCTCTTTAAAATATATGATGAAGGATCTTCTGCCCTTTTATTCAAAATCTCCATTGAGGAGGATCCCACAATATGCAATGGGAATCCATTCCATATTTGCATAACTTGAATCATTAGAAAGTGATTCCTTCCATCAACCCTAAATTTATCTAACCATCTCTCTTAGTTATGATCTGGAGAACTAAGCCAAAAAAAGAATAATAAATCTGCCAAATCAGTAGGCTTAGGTCGTGATAAGAGTTATCATGTTGCCCTGGGCTTTTTTAAATCACTCTGATTCATTCAAAATGATTTGCAGGTGACATTGACTTAAGGCCCCATTACCGTACTTCTTGCCCTTTTCCACTTTCTCTCCAACTTCTTGCATCATTTCCCACAAAACTATACCTAGAAATTAAGATAATAAATCAAATGGGATCTGATTTGTGTCTTTTACTGAGAGACCATCACATTCTTTGTGAGAGAAAATTCCTCATTTTAAATCACTTAATAGTTCACTACATCCGTCCAACAATTTTCCTGACAGTAATCACACTTCAGTCCTCATATTCTTATGTTGCTGATTTTAAAGGCAGAATGAACAGTGCATTTCTCACTATTAACTTTCTCCTTACTTGATTCAGTGCCATCTTTGAGCCTTCCAAGATTGTGTAGTTTTGTAAGTTTCTCATGCCATGTTTTATAAGTCTCTCCTAGATCTGTGCCATCTGCAAATTTGATAAACTTTTCTCTTGTTCTTTACCATGAACTTGGAAAAAAATGATACTGGAGCCATTTCATTTGAAATGACTGGAGTTTTTCCCACTGCATACAGAAAATTGATGAGTAACGATTTTTTTTTAGCTTTTAAAAAAGGACAACCTGAAAAGCTAACACTTTTAAGACATGCTTTCCTTATATGATTCCTGTAGTACCTTCTCCATATCTAGAGTAGATATATGATCAGAATAAAGACACGATGAAGAAATTCTGGCAGAAAAGAAAGAAATAACCAAGAATATTTAATTAGAGGAAGGATTGAGAAGGAGAACTCTGAGGAAAGAATAACCTGCCACGCAAAATGAAAAGAATTAAATAAGAATAAGGGGAATAGTTCTCAGAGACTTCCATGCCCAGGTCTTTGTAAAACCTCACCTGCTGGGTAAAAAGAGACAAAGAATGAGCTAGAAATATTATGAATTTCACACCCCTCAATTTTTTTTTTTTAGTGTCCTAAAAGACAGCCCTATGCCATTATTGCTGACCTCATTGAAATAACCTCCTAAGAACAATTCCCCAAACAGGTCCAATCACTATGTCCCCTCTTAAAATTTCAAAACTTTTTTTAAAGAAATAATAGAAATAGAAAGGAAAGAAAGCAAAGTAAAAGGATTGGGGGTAATAATGAATATTAAAAGGATTGTATTGAATCCCAGACTCTAAACCTTCTAAAGGAAAAGTCTCAATACTCAGAGGAGGAATCATTTGCACAAATAATCTTCTGAAATATAGGTAACATTACAATGATTGTAAATAAAACAATTATTGATGCCAGGTATATTTTTCATTTGTTAATCCCTAGCTCATGGCCTGCACATGGTGTTCTGATGATATATTTGAGAGACATTGTCTTATAGTTTATATTATGCAGAAAGAAAAGGACTGAAAACAGTGCAATTAGTGAACCTTGTCAATGGTCTGATTGACATGGCACTTGTGGTCATTGTAAATTTATATTGTTTGATGTTTTAGATATATTTTAATGTTATCTTTTTAATGATTGAACTCCAATATGGAGTCACTTAGATTAAGTGGTCTTAAAACTCATCAAAGTATATAAACAAAGATGGACATTTTGCCTTTTCCCTTGTTAACTCTCTGTTAGGTAGATGAGGCTTGAAGCTTTAGATTGAATGAAACTCTGGACTCATTGGAGTACTCTGAATTTGTTCTCATTTCTGGTATCTAAGATAGTTAACCTTAGATCCTTCCCCCAATTTTGTGATATAAAGATGCAGAAACTCCCACTACCTCAGCGAAGCCTAGCAGTGATCAGTGACCTTGAGGACTTCTTCATCGTATATGGGTCCAATAGGAATATTTCTTCCCATATTTGTCACCCATAATCAGTTCTTATCCTCCCTTATTCTTAGAGAATAAACTTTTGCTACCTGAACCTCAACCTTGAATGCATTTCCTCCCTGGTTTATCTTCCTCATCCTTGTAATGGGTGAGTTTTTTCATCTTTACAGATGAAGTTCTATCTAAAAAAAACATATAGGACATATATAGATAGTCCCTATTTCTCTGCCTGCTGCACTGCACATCAATAAAATCTTTAATTTATCAGCTTCCTGAAGACCAGGCTTCTAGAAATTGTCAAAGCCAGGTCTTGCTTTAAACAATGTTGTGAGGTTAAATAAAACGCAACTCTACCAACAAACCAGACAGAAATATGGATGATCATTTCATTAATCAGACAAATAAAAACAACTTACTGTGTTTCTGGAGCAATCCAGATGGGAGGACTTTGGAAGAAATATTTGTCATATGGTCGCGTTGACTTCTGATACAAGGAGAAGAAGCCCCCTATGATTAAATCCCCTTCTTTTCTATATGTGGGACTGTAAGCTCTTTCTATATGACAAGGACTTTTCACCATGTGATACTCAAAAAGAGAAATCTGCAGAAGCAGTATCACAAATAACCTAGAGAACAAGAGTCCCAGGTTCCCCAGGCCCACGGTCAATATCCCAAATCTCTGAAGGGTCAAGGCACTGTAAGATGACTGGAGGTTGTTGTTCATGCATCTATAGGCCCATTCTCTATTACTAAAGATTTGTCTTTCCTAATAGATGCTCAGACTTTGAACAGTCCTTCTCCCTTGGCAACATAGAATATGAGACATGTAGAGGCCTGTTTAGGACAAGGGCAAAAACTAGAAAGAACAGGGTATATTTATAGCATATTTCTGCCTCCTGGATATTATTCTCTTTGTTCCCTGTGGATGGATTAGGAAAGGAGGGCTGTCTTCATGCCTCTTGGGTGCAAGTCAAACAAATATGTTGACCAGAGTCTGAGAATGAGAGTCTCTCAGGACCATCCTGCCCTAAAGCCCTGCACCTGCTTCCTTCATCTGGGAAACTTCAAAAACTTAAGTATATATATAAAAAAAAAAAGCCGTTTGGCAATCTCCTTTGCTACCTTCAGTCCCTGGAGCCTTCACAGCTTCCATGGGTTCTAAGATGCCCACAGGACCCTCTGATCTCTCTCAAGCTAGGTTTTGTGGGCTTTCTGGAGTACTACTTCCATTCTCCCCAAGCCAAATCTCTGTGGTGGCTCAAAATGACCAGATGTTGCATCAGTCAGAGGACAGTGCTACATGACAAAGGCAGAAAGTGTGAATGATAGTGACAAGGCCTAGGCCCACAAGTTCCCAGACTGAGATGAGTTTTACATTTGTCTTGCCTTGATAACATTAACTATAGTACCTTGGCCATTGGAAATACACACTAACTATTGCTGAATGAATGCTCATAATGACAACAGAACTCGCAATAAGGTTTTTAAGTTGATAAATCACATTGCTCTCATGTTTGCCTGTCACCTCACTAGTGGGAACCTTGGGTTCATTGGGGTAATTACCTCCTGAAATTGAGAAGAATTATAGAAGGTGACAGTGTGTCATACCTGAGATGAATGAAAAGTCAGAGACAAAGTTTCTGAGTAATTAGTAACAAATTTATTAATTAGGCTAGCATGTAACCATTAAATTGATAATTAGTTTTCTTTCTTGGTAACCAAAGACAAAACCATGGAGATCACTTAATGTTTAAATATCTTTAAAAAAAGGAGTGCTGCTGACAGGTAAAAATCAACCCTGATGGGTTAACAGTTAATGAGAGGGAGATTTTTTCAAATGAGAAGATGGGCTAAATACAGCAGCCCCTCTTGTTGAGTATGTTGTTTGATCATTGGACTCAGGCACCTCAAGCAATCTGGACAATGGAATCCATCTGTACCCAGAACACTTTGGATAGTTTTCTCCTTCATGAGCTGAATTGCCCTAAACTCCAATGGGGGGATTCCAAGGGTATAAGCCTAGTGTTTTAGGGCTGCAATTCAAGAAGATTAAATTTTGTTTACATTGTAAAAAGAAATGAAGTCTTCTACATGGGTGAGAAAGAATTGGAGCAACCTTATCAAACAGTAGATGGGGGTTGGGAGAGTGGGTGGTTGCCATTTCCTTCTCCTACTCATTTTACAGATGAGGAAACTGAGGGGTGACTCCGCTCTGAGGCAAAACCCCTAGGGATGTCGAGAACCCACCTAAACTCATTCGTCAAAGAAGTCATATTCTCGCCATCCCAGTGATTCTGAACCCCCAGTCACTGCTCAGATCCCTTTCTCCATCTTACACTGCCTGTTCCGTTATCCCAATCTTCCTCAGTATGAGCCAGTCAATGTCCCACTCTGAACCTATCCATCCAGGGTGATTTCTGAATTGCTTACTTAATGGGTAACAAACATTTTTAACTTGAATCTTTTCCTTCCCCACTCAATCTTCTGGCCCTTATGAGACCTTCAATTGATCAATTGTCTATAAATTCATAAAGCCACTTCAATTCTTTTAATTTTTATCAATATCCTTTGCCCACACATCACCTCCATTTCCCCAAACTCAATCCTCCATGATTTACTTGACTGCTAATTTTCGGCCAGCTCTGCATAGCCTCACTAACTGCTTGGGTATCGCCTGGAGGCCCTTTCTTCTCAGCTTTGCTCTCCAGGTCTAGTCCCAGCAACCCAACATTGCAATTGTTCCTAGATGGTGTTGTTCAGTAATTTCAGTATGTCTGATTCTTCCTGACCCCATTGAGGATTTTCTTGACAAAGATCCAGGAATGGCTTGCCATTTCCTTCTCCAGTTCATTTTACAGATGAGGAACTGAGCAAACTGGGATAAGTGACTTGCCCAGGGTCATACAGATAGTAAGTGTCTGAGGCTAGATTTGAAATCAGGAAGATAAGTCTTCCTGCCTCCAGGCCAGGGATCCATCCACTGTTGCCCCTTGGGGTGTGTCAATCTACTCCACTGCCACTCTACACCCCATCCAAGACTTTGAAGGTAAAAGTGCCTTTGCCACATTTTCCCCACCCTATTCATTGTATGCATTAAAATGTAAGTTCCTTGAGGTCAGGGACAGTCTTTGCTTTTCTATTTGAATTGAAAATACTTAAACCAGTTTTTGGCAAATAATGAATGTTTGCTTAATAACTATTTGTTTCTTCTTTCCTTCCTTTCTATTTCATTCTTTCTTTCTACCTTGTCTTTCTTTTTACTTTCTTTCTCTCCCTTCTCTATCTTCCCTTTTTCCCACTGGCACAGAGCCATATTCTACAACCAAACATTAAAAAGTGCCTTCATTGTGAGATTCTGCCACCCACTATAGAGGGAGGAGAATGTGGTGGGAAGAGCCCTTTTCTGGGAAACAGACCATTTCTAGTACAGGTTCCATCATTTATCAACTGCACGTCCTTGGAAAAGTTATTTCCCCTCTTTGGGCTACAGAGGTCTACTATTATAAAGTGAGACTAAGACAAAGAAAAAAAGTTGCTTACTCTTTTTAAGGGGCAACTAGGTGGCTAAGTGGATAGAGCACCAGGCCTGGAGTCAGGAAGACCTGAGTTCAAATCTATCCTTGAACATAATTAGTTAACTGTTTTAACCTGGGCAAGTTGCTTCACCCTCTTTGCCTCAGTTTCCTCACCTTTAAAATGAGTTGGAGATGGAAATGGCAAACCACTCTGAAGGGGGTGGGGTTTGGGGTGCTTCTAGTTGCACAGAGGCACCCCAAAATTGTGGGAAAAGCCCACATCGTGGCATGGATCTGCCTGAATGAATTCAACTCATATCTTCTTCCAGCCAGAGAAAAAGCTTATTAAAGATAAGCATATAGGCCAGACTCCAAAGGAACCCAAACATCAGTGATCTAAATGGGATTTAAGGTGGTCAGGTGATGCTCTTAAGGATGAGCAGTGTGAGGCAGTCTAGAAAGCTCAGCATCTGAGTGGGGGATGGGGCTAAGGTGGTCAGGCCAGGTGACACCCGTTACAGGCAGGCATGGGGTCTCATCCTCTAGGGGCATGAGAAATTCCCAGCGTCTGAGTGGGGGCTGGGGTGGATAGGCCACGTGACGCCCGTGAGGATGGGCGGGCATGAGGGGTCTCAGCTTCTAGAGCTGTTCTTGAGAACAGCTCAGCATCAGAATGGGGGAAAGGTGAGTCTTAAGTACAGACTGATTGGCGAGGGGTCTAGGAGTGGCCAAGCAGCTTGGAGTGATGGGAGGAGGGGTCCTAGGAGATCTGGATGGGAGTGGCCAGCAAGCTGGGGGGGAACAGAACTCCTGGGTTCTGGGCCTTGTGGTGCCTAGGTAGGATTAAGGGTGAGAATGGCCAGGAAGGCAAAACAATGGGAAAGCCAGTTGATGGCAGAGGTGGACCATTTGGGAAAGAGTCCAGGTGAGAATCTCCATTTGGAATGTCTGAGTGATTTGAAAAGACAATGAGAATAGATAATGAAGGGAGCTGGAAGGGGAGGTTTGCTTTCAAAGGGCTTTTAAAGGGAAATAAGGCAGTTTCTAAAAAACTTTAAGGGTTTCCTGGGACTGGTAAACAAAACTGAAGCCAGGTTCTTTTTAGGGGCCAGGGAGGAAAGATGTCAAGGAGAGATAAGTGAGTCTAACAGTTTTAAGGTTTTTCTGGGAATTGTAGGTAAACCTCTTCAACTCCAGTATCTTTGCTAAGAAAACCCCAAATAGGGTCATGAAGACTTGAACACAATGAACATTCTTTGTGAGGAAGGGGCATTGAAGACACAGTGTGGGCAAATGGAAAGAATCCAGACTTGAAGCAATTGAACCTGTGTTTAAATTCCAGTGCTGCTACATGTGAGACCTCTGGTTCTTTCTGTAAAAAGAACAGTTTAGATCAGAGGGTCTCTAAAATTCCTTCCAATTGGAATTCCTATCACCAAGCTTTTATTGATTTTGGGTAAATGCTTGGGGATTGATTGATGGATCCTAAGATCTCTAAAGGTCTTCAGATCTACTGAATCAACTGGGGGTGATTACTTGCTCTGTGCTTTCCAAAATCTTCCTCATTCTTCCATAAAACCTGGTTCCTGGAAAACTTCTCCTAGATTTTCTCTGTTGCTGGCACTTAATATTACCCATTTAACCATTTAAACAGGAGAAATCCAGAAATGGAGGCTTGCTGGGTTCTTTCCCATCTTTTCTGTCTTAAAGAATATTCCACACTTCTTGTCTTCGTGCAAGAAACCCTGGAAGTACCCAATCATCTTGTATTCCTCAGAGTATCTTAGTGTCAAATGCAAAGAAAGAGGAAAAGAAAATAGTAGGAAATAATATTTATCAAACTGAGCACTGAGTTAACTGTCTCAGACACTCACTAACCATGCCTCTTAACAGTGTCCAGGGTTCAATATTCTTCTCCATAAAACGATAGGATTGGGTTTGACTATTTATGTGTAATGTGTGTCTTTCTACCCATGTTCCCCTTAAGACAGGAAAAGATGGAGGAAACATGATAAGGGAAGAGATATGGGACTGGGGAAGTGAGATGTGGTAAGAGGCTGAGTAGAAGGAGTTGGACTGAGTGGCAGCAAGGCTGGGATGGAAGTGGGAGCCAGAGAAGGAAGGGAGATTGTTCAGTGGGGTGAAAAGCAGCCAGGCCCACCTTTGGACCCTCAGCCCAACTGGGAGAAGGGCTGAGCGATGAAGAACT